TCTTTCTTCTGAGGTGCCTCTGGGTGTATTGAAACTGCCAGCATTTCTACTAGTAGTGAAGAGCTTAACCATTTGTACCACCAGGGAGTCCTAGAAATTAATAAAAAGCCAGAAGTTCATAAAAATGAGAAAAGAATATAGATAGTTATGAGGTGATTGGAAGTCTTACACATTGCTGGTGGGATTGTAAAATGGTACAACCAGTATGGAAAACAGTATGGGACTTCTTCAATAAGCTAGAAATGGAAATAACTTATGATCTAGAACTTCCAGGTTTATCACCTAGAGACATTAGAGCAGTGACATGAATACACATATGCATACCTATGTTCATTGTAGCATTATTCACAATAGCAAAAAGATGGAAAGTCCTTCAACAGAAGAATGGATAAACAAATTGTGGTACACACATGTTTGATGAAATACTACACAACTACAAAGAATAATGAGGAGTCCATGAGACATTTTATAACATGGGTGAATCTGGAGGACATTATGCTGAGTGAAATAAATCAAACACAAAAAGTATTATATGGTCCCACTATAAAAAGTCAATAGGTATATGCACAGAAAGCAAAGTTCTTTGATGGTTACCAGAGAGGGTGCAGAGAGAAAGCGAAATAACTTTCTAGATAGTAGACACTTAATTACTTTTGGTGATGAGAAAGCAATCCCAAATATGGGTAAAGTCAGCACAACTTGACTAAGGTAAATAAAGACAATAAGTAGTACACAAGATAAAGGGACAATTTTGGTAAATACTGTAACATACACAATTTTGTAACAACAGTAAAAACAACCAAAAACTACATGTGTGGTTACATAGGTAGATATTGATATATGTGTGTGTATAGGAAAGCATCTGTAGGGATATGTATATACATGTTTGTGTGTGCTGCACGTTGTTGATGTGGTGCCATCAAGTTGGTTTAGATTCATAATGGCCCTATGTCCAAAAGAATGAAACACTTCCTGGTCTTGCGCCATTCTCACAATCATTGCCATGCTTGAGCCCATCACAAAAAGGGCATGGGGGCAGCATCCTCCTCCAACCTCCTCTAATTTCACAAGAGGGAGACAGAATCACCATCAGCAGCCCAAGGCTTATACCTATGAGGTCAGATAAGCCACCACCCTCCAGCCTTTTTACCAACTCTGACACTAACCATTCCTCCCACAGCACTCACTACTTCTCTGCTGGTTGTGGCAATTTGTTGCAATGGCCACACAGAATCCACAGACAATACTCATGATTATAGGGTTTATTAGGGAAATAACAGATTACAATTCAGGTTAAAGAATGCTCTCAGCATACAATTCTTTCATCAGGACTGTCTCCCATCTTCTCTGCCCTCAGGTATGCCTCCCTGGCCTCTGGCCTCTCTGCCTGGTCTCTGCCATGCTTGGGCAAGCATTACAAAGCTCTTTTAGCTGCTCTGGTGATAGGGACACCTACGGACACCCCACTGTGCCAGCAAGCCTCCTGCTCAAAGGCACTCAGCTTTCTTGCTCCATGGGCCAGCAAGCTCACTGTTCTGTCTCATGCTTGTTGGTTCCTCAGCTGGTTGTCTCATCCTGTCAGCTCAGCCAATCATCTCAGCTGGTTGTCTCTCTGTCAAGGAGATCCAGTGCAGGGATTTTGGGTCCAAGGATGTGCTTGACTCGACATCCAGCTCTTCTCTCTTGATGGCAGTGAGATCTCCCTTTCTGCCTCTAGGAAGGCTCATTTTAAGCCTAGCAGGATGACATAGCTAACCAGTCCTCACATTAGAGTTCCATATACCTTATTTGCATGGCTCTACCACCAATAAGGATGCCATGTACCTTATTTACATTATTATCAAGCTATCCAATCCCCTTGGTGGGCCATAAGCACATCACATTTGCATAGTTCTACCCAATATCCTGGTGGGAGTCAAAAAGTCTATGGCTAGGAGAGCCATACCAACTCATTCAAGGAACCATACCCATCATTGCAGCTTGTGTCAATCCATATCCTTGAGGGTCTTCCCCTTTTTGCTGACCCTCTAACTGCTATTCATAGGTTTTCAGTGGCCAGTTTTTCTCAGAAGTGGACCTGTCCACCCTAGTTTGTCCACCATGGGTGACCCTGCTAGTATTTGATATACCGATGACATAACTTCCAGCATCACAGCAACACACAAGCCACCACAGCACAAGAAACTGACAGACAAACGGTGGTGTGCTGCATAATAAATAAATAAATAAACAAACAAACCAAACTCACTGCCATCAAGTCAATTCAACCCATAGCCACCCCTCCTTGGGTTTCCGAGGCAGTATCTCTATGGAAGTAGATTGCCCAGTCTTCCTTTCCAGGAATGGCTGATGGGTTTGAATGGCCAGCCTTCTGGTTAGCAGTCAAATGCCTTAGGCACTACGCCAGCAGAGCTCCTTTCCTGCATATATATCCACATATATAACAAAACACATGGGGGCACAGTTATGAAAGCTTTATACAACTCACAGGATTAATTTACCAAGTTAAAAGGCTTGGACTATATTCTTGAGGGACAACTTAGTCAATTGGCATAATATATTTCACCAAGGTTATCTACATCCTTGTTTGATGACTAGCTTGTGAGTGCCCATCTAAGATACAACTATTTGTTTCTGCTCATATAGACCAAAAGAGAATGAAGGAAATCCAAGGCTTAAAGAAGAAACAAATCCATGGGACTAATAGACTACATGAATTACAACCTCTTCTAAGCTGAGATCAGAAGAACTAAATGGTGCCTTGCTACCACTCCCAGGGATACAATAGAAGGCCCAAGATAGAGTGAAGAAATACATAGAACAAAGCTCAAATTCCTGAAAAAAATGTCAGACCTATTGGACAAATAGAGACTAGAGGAACCCCTGAGACTATTACCCTAAGATAACCTTTGAATTTGAAATTGATGCTATCTCTGCAGGTCATCTTTCAATCAGAAAATAGATACCTACTGCCATCAAGTCTATCCTAATTCAAGGCAAGAGTTTAGAATGGAGTAGAACTGTTCCATAGGGTTGCAAGGCTGTAAATCTTCATGAAAACCTCATTTGTCTTTCACAAAATGGTTGATGGGTTTGACTCAAGACCTTTTGGTTAGCAGCCAAATGCTTTAACCACTATGCCACCAGAGCTTCTAATAATAGATTGGCTTATAAAATTAATTATATCCCCTTGAGGAATGTGCTTCCACAGACAATTAACTATATGAGACCAAATGGTCAATATTTACCCCAAAACAAAGATGAGACAGCATGTGGGAGGGGGCCAAAGGAAGTGAAGATAGATCCATGGAAATAAAACAAACAGAATGGAAATAATGATAATGCTGACACATTGGAAAAATGGTAACCAATGACACAGAACAACATGTATAAAAATTTTTAAATGGGAACCTAATTTGCTATGTAAAATACAATAAGATATTATTTTTCAAAAAGAATATAGAAAGTTTACACAAAAACAAATTTTAATGACTCTTAAATATGTGAAAAGAAACTTGACCCCTAACCCTATCTGATAGGTAGCATTCTTTGTCCCCAATTTCTATAATCAGCTTCTATTAGTACCAATATTCTCAGAATACATGTGCAAATGATGCTGGGACATTTATTTGAGATCATCTCATGTCTGTTCCCTCTGACAGAGCAGCTTCTTCAGTTATGCCAAAGTCTGAAAGCCTCCAGATTGTGTGTTTAGTTGATGAAATATTGAAGCCAGGAAGAAAGTACCAGTGTAGTTTGGTTTGTACTTTTATGGACTTAGATGCTTTGTGCTTAAATTATAAAACCAAAAAGATTATATACAAATAAAAAAAAATCTGATCAAAGATGTTTTGCCTTTGAAATGGATAGCCATTCTTATAGAAGCATTATAAAGATGGTGATACTCATATTTTATCAAACCGTGTAAATATAGATTCTGAGGTCAAATTCTGACTAAGACTTGACTGATACAACTAGAGTATCTTCAGTATTCAATCTCCCACATTGCTGTGTGAAAGAGCTAGAAGGTGAATAACTGAGGGGTGAGGTTTTGGAAATGGAAAGATAAGTTCCTTACCACATCATAAGTACCTAAGAAAGGGTTTTTTAAGAACATATGTTTTTATGTTGAATAAAGCCAAAGAGAGCAAATAGCCTTTGGTGAGGAATTTTGTTTTCTAGACAGAGTGCTTGGCAAAACATATGCCTTATCATATAAAGCAAATTATATCTTTTAAAGAAAATAGAAAACCACTTCTTTACTGCCTGAATTATCCTAATTAATGAGTTCACTGTTATTTTCATGTTTAAATTATTAAATGTTCTATACTTTCAATTCACTGATTATTTTTAAGCCCCCAAATCTGCATTTGTATAATAGTCCATTTTATAGGGGAACTTTACAAGTAATTTGAGAGGGAAATGATGTGAAAATAGTCCATCTGCAAATGAGATTTCAGCTGTATTTTTTCAAGTAAGCGATCCCTTCTTGATGTTCCTAGTCCACAGCTCACGCTGATGAATTTAAAATATACAAAGCTCCAAATGAGGAAGACTGTGCAAATCCGAGAAATCAGATCCATTCCCATTTGCATCTTCTTCTTGTTGTTTTTAGGTGCCGTGGAGTTAGTTTTGACTCATAGCGATCCTATGTACAACAGAATGAAACACTGCCCCACCCTGTGCCATTCTCACAATCCTTGCTATGCTTGAGCCCATCATTTCAGCCATGGTGTCATTCTGTCTTATTGGCATCTTAGAGCTTTTCAATCATCACTACACATGATGAATATTACTGGTGTCAACCAATGAAGTTTTTAGGCAGTTCTAACCCAGAGCAGAACTGGCCATCTTCTTAACCTGAATCGCAGCTGAAAAGGAGGATGGATAAAAATAGTTGCAGTATGGCCTAAATGACAGAGATATTTATTATTCTTCAATGATAAGCTGAAAAATCAAATCATCATCAGTGATATTCAAAATCAGAGCTCTCAGCTAACATGCCAAGTACAACGGAGGTCATATATATGATCCTGATTGCTGGTGAATTTGCTGTAGGGATTTGGGGAAATGGATTCATTGTCCTGGTTAACTGCATTGGCTACCTCAAAAGGAGAGATATCTCCTTGGTTGACATCATCCTAGTCAGCTTGGCCAGCTCCAGAATATGTTTCCTGTGTGCAATATATTTAGATGGCTTTGTTATGGTGCTCTTTCCAGATGTATATACTGATGGTGAATTAATGAGCATTTTTGATATTTTCTGGACCCTTAGCAATTTTTCAAGTGCCTGGTTTACTTCTTGCCTCAGCATCTTCTATTTACTCAAGATAGCCAATATCTCCCACACACTTTTCCTCTGGCTGAAGCAAAATGTTAACAAGATCATCCTTGGGATTCTTCTGGGGTCCTTTCTCATCTCCTTACTTAGTGTTCCAATGACCTACTGCTACTGGCCTGATGATTTCTGGTATCAGTTTGTGGACAATAATGAAGAAAATTTAACTTTGGAATTCAAAGTGAGTAAAACCCCAAACCCTTGGCGACAGATTCTCCTGAACTTGGGGGCTGTAGTCCCCTTTATTTTATCCCTGATATCCTTTGTATTGTTACTTTTCTCCTTGTTCAGACACACCACGCAGATGAAACTTTACGGCACAGGGTCTGGAGACCCCAGCACAGAAGCCCACATGAGAGCCATCAAGGCAGTGATCATCTTTCTGCTCCTTTTCATTGTGCACTGTACAGTCTTTCTTGTACTAACCTCTAGCTTTCTGATTCCTCAGACAAAATTAGTGGTGATGTTTGGTGGCGTAATAACCATCATTTTCCCAACAATCCATTCATTCATCCTGATAATGGGAAATAGCAAGCTGAGGGAAGCTTTTCTGAAGGTCCTAAGTTTTGTAAAGGGTTTCACAATCCTTTGTTCCATACCAAGCCCTGGGGAGACTGCTGAATGAAAGAAGAAAGAAATCAACAAAAAGACCTTCTTCTTTCTCCCAAGTGATTACATTTATTTTTTTTTCTTATATGCTATGGGAAATCATTAATACCATCATTATTCTAAAGATAATTTTTGTCTTCTATCACATTTCTGTTTTATTTTTTAATCTAATATTATCATCAAACCACTATGCTTTCTTTATCCTGGCAGGAAAAAAAAATATATATATATATATATATATATATAATTCCATACTAACATTTCATACTATTGCCTAAATACAAAGACATTCTGCTTCTTTCTGCCATATTACTGGCAAAGGAAGGAGCTCTGGTGGTGCAATGGTTAAGCATTTGGCTGCTTGAACCCACCAGCTGCTCAACAGGAGCAAAGACTGTCAGTCTGCTCCAGTAAAGATTTACAACTTAGGAAACCCAATGGGCAAGTTCTGTCCTATAGGGTCACTATGAATCATAATTGACTATACAGCACACAACATCAACACTGGCAAAGGCCTTGAATTCAATGAGCAGAAGAATTTCAGGCATACAGGCTGGGGAAGAGATATTAGAACACATCAGTTCTTCCTATAAAATCAATCATATAAAACTACATTGTCTGAATTAAAGTGCAGTCTTCACCTTTTCTGTCCCTTTCCATTCAATTCTGAATCATTTGTCCTGATCAGGAGGGAAGAAAAAGAGTCTTTGATGAGACTCTACCTAGGAAAAAATATGATGTAGGAAAAGTGGTCTGATACCCACTTTTGGAAGGTTTGACCAGGAAAGGGGGATTTGTATCAGTTAGGAATGTATATAGCAGAACCACCTTGGGAGAGGTTGAGAGAGGCAATCAGGTTGTTCAATAGCTAAACCTAGCTGGTCATGGCAATTTTAGGAGTCTGTTCTCAAAGTAGTCTTTGGGATGTTCTTTCTAACCTTCTACACTAAGGATTTTTCCACGCTTTCCTCTTCACAGCTCTCTTTTCTCGATTTTGTTTGCAGTAATGTTTTATAAACAATTAAGTTTCTTTTAAAGTATGAAGTTCATACTTTCCTGGGAGCTCTGGTGGCATAGTGCCTAAGGCATTTTACTGCTAACCAGAAGGTTGGAGGTTCAGCCCCACCAGCCACTCCTCAGAAGGAAGGTTGGGCAATCTACTTCCGTAGTGATACTGTCTCAGAAACCCAAGGAGGGGTCGCTGTGAGTCGGGTCCGACTTGATGGCAGTGAGTTTGGTTTGGTTCATACTTTCCTACTTCATATTAGACAAATGTAAATAGTAGGAAAAAATTACATATGTTGGAAAATTTTTTAAATACAGGAATAAAAACTCTAGTTTATTGTGTTTTGTATTGCCTAGATTAAAATATCTTGTGGGCTAAGTATTAGTTCCCAAAAAAAGAATAAATCTAGTCAAATAAGTCTAATACACCCACTCCTTACTTATCGGCATGGATAGGTCCCAAAGATCATATCATTATGCAGTAATTGGTGTTAAGTGAAAATGGAGCATAATTACATCAAATCACAAAATGGAAGATGAGTGCATCATTACATAACTGCCCAATTACATAGTATATAACTGCCAAACCACTGAGAATCATGGACTAGCCAGACTGACACATAATCTTAATCATAACAGCTAGCGTTACTTTTGCATCATACTTCAGCGTTTGTTACTGCCAGACATATATTGTTAATGCACAAAATAGCTGAATACTAGATTTTTTACCATTGTAGTAAATGTGAAATGTCAGGTAACAAGATAGTTGGTAAGTGAGGAGTAGGTATAGCAGAATAGTACTATTCTCTGGAAGTATTATTGGTAGAAAACATTATTTATTTGTTTATATATATATGTATCCATCTAAAGTAGTGACTATAATGTGGACTATACAATCATATATCTTATAAAAGGGGTTGATTTTGAAACTAGATAAATTTAAATTATCTATTTCTTTAATTTTATATGAAAATGCTTATTATCCAGATGAAATCAAGTACGTTCAGGGTGCTTTGACCATAGACAAAAATGTTTATTATCCAAAAGACAACATTTAAAGAATCGACTTGTCATGGAGAACACTTCTCATATTAAATAAAACTAAAGATGACAAATATTTGTCTGGCATCTTTCAATTCTAATAAACAACTTTATAAAGAACCATTCTTAGTAAACATTGCCATGTGCCTGCCTGGCTAATAGCAATATAATTAAATTTGTATCATATCCTTCCTTAATTAACCATCACAATGAAGAAAAAAAGTATTATCCTCTAATGAATGTTAACTCTCTACAATCTGATTGAATTGACCATTTCTAAAACTAAAACACGTTTCTATGTAGGAAACCAGATTTGTATATAATTTATAACTTAGGATGATGAAAATTAAGGTTTATTTGCAAATTCTGATTTTTATTGGACATATATTTTTGTGACTCTCTATTCAAAATTCAATTTGACAGATCCAAATATGCATAACCTACAGGAAGAAGCCTAGTGCAAATACATGAAATAAAATCTTGTTGCATTTGCATTAGAAGAAACAGTTTCAGCCAACAGTTTTATTTATCACTCACTAAAGGATAATAATTATAATTTGCCCAGGCTACAAATAGCTGTTTGAGGCATTTGTTTGGATCAATCAATTCGTTTAGCTTTATGAATGTAGAGACAATCCTATTTCAGGGAAGAGCTGGACACTTTCAGGAATGATACCAAAGTCAAAATGATGACAGATGAAAATACTCTTCCATGATTTGAAGGTTTATTTATCATTCTGCAACTGGTTATCTGTAAAATTCGCCATCTGCAGTGACATTTAAGATCAGTGTATTCTCTGTACAACATGCTCAGTACAGAAGACATTATATTTATGATCATAGTAACTGGAGAATTCATAATAGGAGTATTGGGAAATGGATTTATTGGACTAGTCACCTGGATCGACTGGGTTAAGAAGAAAAAGCTCTCCTCAATTGACTACATCCTCACCAGTTTAGCTATCTCCAGAATTTTTTTGATCTGTGTAATTGTATCAAATACCCTGGTAATGATATTACAGCCTAATTTAATTCAAAATGATAAACTAAGGATAGTCGTGGATATCTTCTGGACTCTCAGTAATCACTCAAGTAACTGGTTTGGCACTTGCCTCTGTGTCTTCTATCTCCTCAAGATAGCCAATTTCTCCCATCCGTTTTTTCTCTGGCTGAAGTGGAGAATTGACAGGGTCATTGCCCACATCCTACTAGGGTGCTTGACCATCTCCTTGTTGATCTTCCTTACCCTAGTAATGATACTGAGTTGTGATTATGAATTTTATATGATTACAAAACAAAACAGCAACTTCACTGACCTGTTCTCTGTGAGTAAACTTAAATTACTGACTGTCTTTGCCTTGTTGGGAATTGGTCCATTTACATTGTCATTGATCTCACTTTTCCTTTTAATTATATCCCTATGGAGACATACTAAGCAAATGAAACACAACGCTACAGGCCATAAAGACGCCAGCATAGAAGCCCATGCAGGAGCCATGAAAACTGTGACTTCATTTCTCTTCCTCCTTTTTGTATACCATTTGGCTTTTTTTTCCTCAGCCTTTAGCTACTATATGACAGAAAAAAAGCTAACTCTGCTGTTTGCAGAGACTTTAGAAATTCTCTATCCCTCAGGTCACTCACTTATTTTAATTCTTGGATATAATAAGCTGAGGCAGGCATTTCTCAGGATGCAGATATGTGGAAAGCAGCCTGCATGATGTAAAATATGTGGTGAACAGCTGCATGATATAAAATCTTAGCTTTATAAATGGACTTTAAAAGCATTTCTATTTTTTTCTAATAAAAATATGATTTTCTTATATCCAATCTCGCTGTTTTCCAATTATTCCATTTATTTTGGATGCATATGTTTAAGTGTTATTGAGCCTATTAGCAAACTATGAGGTCGCTGTGTGACACAAAAAGTTTGTGCTAGACTGTGAACCTAAAGTTGGTGATTTGAACCCGCCTAGGGATACTGGGGAAAGAAGGCCTGGTGATCTGAGGCTAGAAAACTCTGTGGAGTAGTTCTATTTGGTAATATAGGGGCTTGACATGAGTTGGAATTGACAACAGTGATTTGTTCTGTTTTATTTTTACTTTTCAGGTGTCTTTATTCCCCAGACATTTTCATTTTCAAACTTCCTTTCCTCCAAACATTTCAAAGAGTTACATCTCTCTTTTTGTCCTCTCACTGACAATGTTAGGTGTGTACTGCTTACTAAATTCCTTTAAGATTTTCCTTTGAACACAATGAAGGCTACCTGAATTTTACTTACTGGTTTTTTTTTTATTTTATATTATTTTTTATTTAGCCCTTTTGTCCAAAAATCATTGCTAGCCCTTAATTTTTATCCCTTCATAGTTCTGCTGAGGTACTCAGGTTGGGTTTATGAACTAGAACCTCAGATCTCCTCTGCCCTGTGTCTAGTTATGTATATTACCTCTGTCTTCCCAAATGAATGATGCATTAGGTGGTCTCTCAAGTCATTATTTCCTGGTTCTGACACCGCCTGTTCATTTCTCTTGAAATTAAATTTCTCTTCAAATAACTTGTAATTCAGGCAGGACCTAGATAGTAATTAATTAATTCATTCATCTCCCTCTGGGGGGGGGGGGTGTTCTTTTATGTCTGTTTATGGACATAAAAGAACATTTTTGTCTGAAATGTCAGAGACATTTCAGAATACAGTCCTCCCAATCTGCTTCTGAGAGGTCAGAGCCATTGAAAACCCCATGGAGCAGTTCTATTTTGCTCACACAGGGTTGCCATGAGTCAGAATCAATTTGACAGCAGCTAACAACAACATAGTGTGTATATCTATATATATACACACACACTGTATGTATATATACACACTATATGTGTGTATATATACACACACTATATTATATGAACACACACACACACACACAC